ATTAAGTTATATGTAAGTTTAAGGAAGGACTAAAAAAGATTAAAACTAAGTGGTGGATATTTTATATGAGATTTAAGGAAATAGGTTTTTGAATGATATGTTGATATATGAGTTTTTATTGAGGTTTATTAGTAGAATTGACTTGTCAAATGAGTGAATGAGAGATTAGAAATATTGGATAGGATTAAAAACATGTTAGAAAAAGTGATATGATTCTTGGATTGAGATGCTCCATGGAGATTTTAGATGTTATAAAGAGGCTAAATGAAGGAAAGTTAGTTGGGTTAACCAAAGAAGAGTTTAATAGTATTGTTGGAGGTAAAAGTAAAAGATTAGAAGGGAAAATTTAGTGAAAATCGAGCTGAAAAATGGTAAATCTGGGCAATGGTATCGGTAATGATAGAACAGTACCGATACTATAGGTGTAAATGGGTAGAAATGTGATGAACAATATCGGTTCTGACGTAAGTGGTATTGATACTAATGGGGTATCGATACTTATCGATACTAACAAAGGGAAGTATCGATACCATGGATAACGTAATGCCAAAATGGTATCAATACCGAAAAGGAGTATCTGACCATTGTGTAGTAGTATCGATACTGAGAGAAAGGTATTGGTACCATAGTATAGAAGTATCAATACCATGGTAAGGGTATCAATACTATTGAGCCTGTAACTATAAGATAGTTTGGAATTGTGTTAGAAATTGAAATAATGATACTTTTGAGTATTATTAAAGTATAAATGTTAGGGAATATACTAACATTTGGTATGATATATGTCTTCAATGGATGCTTTTTTAGATTATAACCAAGCTCCTGAATCTAGCAAGAAAAAGAGGAAAGATAAAGTTGTTGATTAGCCAGACATCTCTACATCTTATTAGTGGGGATTACCATGTGAGTACATTTATTATAATTAATTGGGGTGAAGAAGATTCACAATGATTCAAATTAGAACGTTTTAAGTTAATGTATGTTTTATAGTATTTAATATGTTATCATTATATGTATGGAAATGGTATTATGAATGAGTTTTAGAGTATGGACGACTCTAAAATGAATCCATAAATGAAATGCATGAAATGATGCATTAAGGCATGAAAGGATGCCATAAATGAAATGCATGAAAGGATGCATTAAGGCATGAAAGGATGTCATAAATGAAATGCATAAAAAGATGCATTAAGGCGTGAAAGGATGCTAATGAAATTAATGAATAATAACTAAAGAAAAATGAAAAAAATGTATAAAAAAGAAAGGTATGTTGGACATACTAAGGATGTTTATGATAATAGTATGAAAGAAGTTTGGTTTTGATAATAGGGACTTATCTAATCCTTATGGATGATACGAATTAGTTCGAAATCAAATAACCATGATATGCTTAAGTATACATTAATGTTTCTTTACAATATTATGTCTCACTAAGTACTTACTTAACGTGTGATGATTTCATGCGAAGGTAAAGGAAGAGATTAGCTGAGTAAAGAATGCAGTTGTAGCAGCGGTGATCATCAATTAAGGTTGACTCATCAGTGACAATAGGACAATCCAGTTTATTTTGGAAAACTTATTTGGAATGTAATTAAAGTACTAAAAATGCTCTGAATTTTTAATTAAGTAGAACTTTGTAACAAATTATAAATAATGTTTTGTTGTATCTTAAAAATGTTATGTTTTAAGAAATCAAATTTTTTTATGGGTTTTCAAATGAGAGACTACTTTAAAAGTGATGTGACATATATACCTCATGTACAGAAAGGTATACATGAGATGGGTGTTACATTTAGTATTTGACCGTTCACCTTGAAAGTAGTTCCATCATCCAACTTTGATATTTTGTTTGCTCCATGGCTATGTACTCTTAATGGTTCTGACCATCTGGACTTTAGCTTATCGGGGAACAACTTGAGTCTTGAATTATAGAGCAGTACTTGTTGTCTTGGAAAAAATTGCCTTGGCAAAAATTTTCTATCATGCCATCTTTTTTTCTTTTCTTTGTACAGGTGAGCATTTTCATACGCCTGAGCTCTAAATTCATCTATTTCATTTAATTATAACAATCTGCTTTCTCCAGCGAGTTGTGCATCCATGTTCAGTTTCTTGATGGCCCATTATGCCTTGTGTTCTAATTCCATGGGCAAATGACATGCCTTATTGTAGACTAACTTGAATGGAGACATTCCAAGCGGTGTTTTAAATGCCGTGCGATATGCCCACAATGCCTCATCCAACTTTGGTGACCAATCTTTTCGTTTAGGGTTGACCACATTTTCAAGGATCTGCTTGATCTGAAGATTTGAAACCTCAGCTTGCCCATTTGTCTGGGGATGATATGCTATGGAAATTTTATGATGCACCCCATATCTTTGCAACGCCTTGACAATTAATTTGTTGTTGAAGTGAGTGCCTTAATCGCTGATAATTTCTCTCGGTGCTCCAAAACAAGTGAATATATTTTTGTGCAAGAACTTCAACACGGTCTTGGAGTCATTACGAGGTGTTGCCATGACTTCCACCCATTTGGACACATAGTCCACTTCCAAGAGGATGTACAAATCACTAAAAGATATTGAGAAAGGTTCCATAAAATCAATCCCCCATACATCGAAGAGTTGGACCTCTAAAATATTTTGCCATGGCATCTCATTTCACTTTGATATGTTACCAGTACGTTGTCAACGATCACATGACTTATAGAAATCATGCGTATCCTTAAATAAGGTGGGCCAGTAGAAACCAGATTGGAGGACTTTTGCAATAGCCCTCATCCCAAAAAAATACCCTCCACACGGGGATGTATGGAAATGAAATAGGATATCTTTATATTCTTCTTTGGGATGTATTTTCAGATTATTTGGTATCCACATTGTTTGAATAGGTACGGTTCATCCCAATAATAATGGCGTACATCATGTCTGAACTTTTTACTGCCTTGGCTAGATAAATATATAGGCATAATATCACTAACAAGAAAGTTCACTATGTCAGCATACCACGACATTGTGTGGCAAATTATATTTTCTCATCGAAAAAATCCTCCTGAATTTCTTTCATGTCATGACAAATGTATTTGTTATCTAGCATGGATAAGTGATCAACTACTTGATTTTCAGTACCCTTCCTATCCTTCACCTCTAAATCAAATTCTTACAGCAAAAGCATCCATCTAATAAGCCTAGGCTTGGCATCCTTTTTATTAACAAGGTATTTAATTGTAAAGTGATTTGTATTTACTATGACCATAGTTCCTATAAAGTACGCCCTAAACTTATCAAAGGCAAATATCATTACAAGTAATTCTTTTTTAGTGGTGGTATAATTAAGTTGTGGATCATTAAGGGACTTGGAAAATTTTACCTTTTCTTTGCCCTAACACTTCTCCTACTGCGTAATCACTAGCGTCGCACATAAGGTTGAAAGGGACTCCTAGTCAGGTTGAACAACAATTGGTGTCGAGGCAAGTTTTTTCTTCAGATTAGTGAATGCATTGAGGCATTCATCATCGAACACAAACGGCTGGTTTTGTTGAAGTAACAAAAACAAAGGCTTTGAAATATTTGAAAAATCCATGATGAAACATCTATAGAATCCTGTATCCCCTAGGAAACTCCTGATGCCCTTCACAGTGGTAGGTGGAGGTAAATTCTCAATTACTTCCACCTTGTCTTTATCAACCTCGATTCATTAGGGAGAAATTTTGTGTCATAACACAATTCTTTATGTCACCATAAAGTGACATTTCTCCCAGTTTAGCACAAGGTTGGACTCCTCACATCGCTTCAATATTTTAGATAAATTGTTGAGGCATCGGTCAAAATCAACGCCTAATATGGAAAAGTCATCCATAAATATTTCCAAAAAGTCCTCCACCATGTCAAAGAAAATGGCCACCATACATCTCTGAAAAGTTACAGGGGCATTACATAGTCCAAACAACATTCTCCGAAAAGCATACGTGCCATATGGGCAGGTGAAGGTGATGTTCTCTTTATCTTCAGGTGCTATGGCGATCTGATTATACCCAGAGTATCTGTCAAGGAAATAGTAAAATGCCTTGCCTGTAAATTAATCAAGCATTTGTTCAATGAAAAGAAGGGGAAAGTGGTCTTTCTCTGTCCCATTGTTAAGATTTCTATAATCTATACATATCCGCCGACCTATGACGATTCTTGTAGTCAAAAGGCCATCATTTTCACTTTTTACATGGTCACACCACCTTTTTTCGGTACGCATTCAACCAGACTGACCTAAGAGTTATCGGATATGGGATAGATCACCCCATTATCAATCCATTTGATGATTTCCTTCATCACCATTTTTTTCATTATAGGATTAAGTCATCTTTGGGGTTCCACATAATTGCTATGACATTCTTCTAGTTGGATCTTGTGCATGCATATGGTAGGGTTGATTCCCTTCAAGTCTGCCATAGTCCACCTGAGAGCTTTTCTGTGTTGTGATAAAACATTCAACAAACTACTCTCTTGCTCGGGGGTTAGACTAAAAGAAATTATAACTAGTAAAATATTGTCACACCCTAGATAAATGTATTTCGAATGTGATGGAAATTGTTTAAGTTCTAAGGGAGGTGCATGCTATAACAAAGATTTTCGAGGAATAAATTCATTGAATTCAAGGGGTTTGAATCTCATACATAGTCTTGCTTGAAGTAAGCTAGACTGTTCCGCCTCTAGTGAATCCTCAAAGTTTTTATTTGCGATATCTTCTGTACATCCTACCTTTGCTTCAATTGGAAAAATTTTGCCTGTGCAAACATTTTTGCCTACATCATTCTGAAAAAATTCGCCTAGGCCAAACTTATTTTTAATCTCTGGCTGTAAAATATTGTCAGGACAAAAAAATTTACACTCCTGAATCTAGGCAATGTTATCTTTGCACATAGTATCATATTTTGTCTAAATGTAAATTTTGTCTTGACCAAAAAATTATATTTCGTCTTCTTCATGGGGCTACAAGTCTCCAATACAGTGTCATTCTTCAAAATTGTCAACATGCTTAAGTGTGTTAAAGACATTGATAGTGACACTTTGATCAGTCACCCTCTTCGTAACCTCTCCCTTATCGTAGTCTATTAAGATGCGCCCTGTGGCTAAGAAGGGATGCCCAATAATAATAGGTGCGTTTTCATCGGTTTCATAGTCTAAAATAAGGAAATCTACTGAAAAGATGAAGTTGTCTACTTTAACTACCACATCTTCAATTTTTCCCTCAGGACAAACATGTGATCGGTCTACCAGTTGTAATGTTACGGTGGTTGGTCGAACATTATTCATTACAAGTTTCAAAAATATGGACTTGGACATCAGATTTACGCTTGACCCCAAGTCAAAAAGGGCTCTCCCAACATACGTATCACTGATAGAGCATGGTATAACAAAACTTCCTGAATCTTTTTGCTTCGACGGAAGTTTACTCAATGCCGAACAATACTTTGTTGTTGTGGCAACATTTTCTACTTTTTCCACCTTTATCTTCTTTGTGAGAATATCATTCAAGAACTTTGCGTAAGAAGGCATCTGATCAATAGCTTCGAGCAGTGGTACATTGATATACAACTTATCAAGGACATCAACAAACTTTTTGAACTGGATTTCATCATTATGCTTCTTCAATAGTTAAGGGAAAGGCGGCAGAGGTCTGATTTCATCTACTGCAACAACAACAAAAACAAAACCCTATTCCTAAATGCAATGGGGTAAGGGGGAGGTAGGGTAGTAGGCTACCCCCAATGCCAATTTGAGAGCAGCTTTCGTGGAAGACCTCCGGCAGTCAGAAAATTAAAAAAATAAAGATAAAATACAGTACTTGTATAAATAAATAAATAAATACATAGTTGAACAGTCTTCATATGCAGTCTACATATGCGCTTCTGTAATGGGAAGTAATCCCTATAAATAAATCCCTGCGTATAAAAATCTTTGTATATAGACAGAAACGTGAGTCCGGGCTAAATTTAAAAAGAGAAAACATGAAGAGAAAGATACACAGTTGTCAGAGACAACAAGTTAAGAGAAAGAATAAAGTCAAATGGGTTAAAATCTAAACTAAGACAACACTACTCCGCTACCCTAGTTCTAAGCCTGTATAAATTCCAATGACAGCAACGTATAAAAAGTAGAAGTCATTTAAATTACTACAAAGGAATTAAAAAAAGACAGAGTTACTACACCCTATTACTGTGACCCACACTACTCGGGTACCCTGGTCTTAAGTCTCCAAACTTTCCTGTCAGAGGTCATGTCCTCGGTAAGGGCTAAATCCTTCAAATCAGATCTCAAGCAGTCTTTTCACTTCCTCATTGGTCGACCTCTCCTTATAGAACCGTCGACTGTAATCGACTCTACCCTTCTGACTGCATCAAACGGTTGTCACCTAAGGACATGCCCAAACCACCGTAGTATTCCCTCCCTCAACTTTTCAGATACATGCACCACCCCCAAGGACATCCTAATTGCAGAGGTTGGTGTCATGTCCCACAGAGTCCTACCACATGCCCATCGAAGTATTCTCATTTCTACGGCCTCCATCCTCCTAACGTGATCCTTCTTGATTGCCCAACATTCTAATCTATACAGCAGAGCTGGTCTAATTGCCATTCTATAAAATTTTCCCTTAAGTTTTAGAGGCACCTTCTTGTCACAAAAAACTCCAGTAGCAATCCTCCAATTTAGCCATCCTGCCTTTATACGGTGTGTAACGTCATCATCTATACCCCCATCTTTATGTATCATAGACCCTAGGTACCTAAAACAATCATTTGAGGGCAGAACGTGTCCTTCGATGCATAATTCTACACTTTCATCGTTTTGGTTCACACTGAAGTTTGAACATAAATACTCTGTCTTTTCAATATTAATCCTTAGACCTTTTCCTTCCAAAGCAGTCTTCCAGGTAGCCAATCTTCTATTCAGCTCATTTTTTGTTTCAACAACTAGGACAATGTCGTCAGCAAAAAGCATACACCATGGAATACCATCTGGTGTCGCACAATAGATGTTGTCCATAATCAAGGCGAAGATGTAAGGGCTAAGAGCCGACCCCTGGTGGAGTCTGATTTCCACCGGGAATGCCTCAGTGTCGTCAACTGTAGTCCTGACGTAAGTAGTAGATCTATAGTACATATCACGAATCGCCCGTATATAAACAATTGGGATCCATCTCGTTTTCAAGGTCTTCCAGATCGTATCGCGGGGTACACTATCATACACCTTCTCAAGGTCAATGAACGACATGTGAAGATCTCTATTTTTCCCCTATATTTCTCCATAAGATGTCAAAGTAGATGAATTGCCTCCGTAGTAGACCTGTTTGGCATAAAGCCAAATTGGTTTTCCGAAACCCTAGTAACCTGTCTCAACCTAGCCTCTATCACCCTTTCCCATAGCTTCATGGTATGACTGAGTAGTTTAATACCTCTGTAGTTACCACAATATTGGGGATCTCCTTTATTCTTATATATTGGTATCACAGTACTCTCTCCACTCCTTTGGCATCTTGGCAGTCTCTAAAATAATATTAAAGATGTTGGTCAACCACTTAATTCCCTATTCTCCTTAGTTCAACCACACAGTGATAGGAATTTGATCTGGGCCAACAACTTTGTCCCTCCCCATCTTCCTAAGGGTCATTTTGACTTCCTCAATCCCAATCCTACTTGTAGGGCAGTCATTGGCCATAGTATGATGGTCGGCTGACCCATCAGCGATACTATCTCTACAAGGAGTGGAACCGTTATTAAATAAGCCAAAGAAGTAACTACGCCAAACCTTATTTATATCATGATCTTTCACAAAAATAACACCATTGTTGTCCTTAATAAACCTAATGCTACCTAGATCCTTTTTCCTATTCTCCCTGGATTTTGCAAGCCTGAAGATGATGTTTTGTCCTTCCTTGGTGTCTAATCTCTTGTACATTTCCTCAGATGCCTTATCCTTTTCTTTAGGCACTATTTTCTTGGCTTCATGCTTTGCCTCCTTGTATCTTTGTTTAGCTCTCGATCTTTCTTCGTCGTCATTGCATTGTAGAAACTTCTTGAAGCAAGTTTGCTTTATCTTCACTTTAGTTTGGACTTCGTCGTTCCACCACCATGATTCTTTATGTTCCTTGACCTTCCCTGTCAATAGCCCAAGGGTGTTTTTGCTCACCTCTCTGATGGAATTTTCCATACGTTTCCATAACACATCTGCATTATTTGAGTTTGTAGTTCCAAAACCTATCTGAGATAAAACCTTACTTCTAAAGTCATCAGATGTCGCTCCATGTAAGTTCTTCCAAAGGATCCTAGGTTTATCTAGTTTAGCCCTCCTATGGGTGCTCTGCCCGTGGCGAACGAGGAACACCAAAACCAACAATATGTGTTGTAATATACATGCATCTTCAGGGAACACCTTACAGTCAATGCAAGCCCATCGATCCCGATTTTGAACCAGGATATAGTCGATTTGGGTAAAATGACCCCCACTATGGAATGTAATCAAGTTCATATCTCTCCTATTAAAGAAGGAGTTAGTGACCACAATATCGTGTACAGTAGCAAATTCAAGCAACGAACGTCCCTCCTCGTTCCTACTACCATAACCGAAACCCCCGTGAACACTGTCATACCCATCGATTTCACTACCTATATGGCCATTGAAGTCTCCCCCTATAAAAACTCTTTGGTCCTCTGGAATGCTCCTAAGTACATCATCTAATGAATCCCAGAAGCAACATTTTCCCCCTCCCCTAGGCCAACGTGTGGGGCGTACACTGAAAGGACATTCACCACTTCCGCTTTTATAATAACCTTAATCATCATGATCCTATCACGATATCTACAAACTTCAACTACATTTTCCTTGAGCCTAGAGGATACCAAGATACCCACCCTATTTCTAGCGTTATCTACGCCTGAATACCACAACTTGTACCCATTACACTCTCTGGCGCGAGCCCCTTTCCACCTAGTCTCATTAACACATGCAAAATCTATTTTCCTATTACTTAGTACATTGGTCAGCTCCAGCAGTCTAGCATTTAATGTGCCTACATTCAACGTACAAACTCTAAGTCTAATCTCCTTGACACCACTATGTCGAGCCCGCCCCTATACGCCCTATAGGGTCTAAAAGAAGGACATGACCTCAAGTATTCATCTATATCTGAAGCTATGAGGATCTATGAAAAAAGAATCCAAAGAAGACAGAAGATGCACAAAAAACTGCTAAAGAATTGAGGGGTACTAAGAAGCCTAGTTGGTTAATTAATAGGATTTTAATTTATATAATACTATTGTTATTATTATTGCTAAAAGCCTAGTGTTAAAAGGGGGAAAATAGAATAATAATGATTTTTATCTACCTATATAAAAAATGATACTACTAATTAGAGAATTAAGCATTACACAATAACTAGCCCTATGTTAGTAAATGAAAAGAACATTAATTTCCTAAAGCAATCAAGAAGAATATGCAAACCCTAAAAAACCTGAGGTAGAGTATAAATTGAAAGCAGAAGCAAGAATAGATGCGATCGGTGCTTTGAGAATTCCGATGGCAATAACCAGAAATACAAGGATGATGACGTCGATTGAGAAATAATAAGGGGACATAAACACCGCCTGGGAACAAGATTTCCTGGTTCTATGAAAAGAAGAACTCAAGAAAAATTGAAGTATAAAGTACAAGAAAATAATTAATTGAACACGCTATGAACAAAACACGAAAAAATAACAAAACAATCTAAAAATAACAAAGGAAAAACACGAGAAAAATCTTATATCTAAACCAGATCTACAGATAAAATAAAATAAAAATAAAAAAACAAAGAGAACGAATAGAAATATGGAAAAAGAAAGATTAAGAAAACAAATAAGAATACTTAGTTGGATGAAGATAAATAGCAGACTAGAAAAGAAAGAGCAGAAGTTAAGTTAATTTCAACAAAATCTAATCAAATAATTTTGAGGTATTTACTGTTTCAGAGAGTAAAATAGACCAAATCCAGTAACAGAAACTATAAGTAAAAATCTTCAGTTGACAAAACAAGTGAAGATGAACATCAAACCAAGAAAATTTTACAGAAAAATGATAATAAACAAGCAAAGAAGTCAACCGAGTTTGGTAATTGTTGAACTGAATCTTTGAAGGGATTCCTCGGTGTTGCAAAATATGAATAACAACACCAAACAAATAGTAAAAACCAAAGATCAGAAGCTTAAAACAAAGAAACGAAGCGCGCTCATTTTGAAAAAGGAGAATTACTAGTTAACGACGAGGAGATCTCGTGAAACTGAGTGCAATAGATCTGTAGATCTCTATTCCTTTTGATTAAAGTAAAAATCGATAGATAAAAGATCCACACCAAAATCAAATGTTTCCGAAACAGGCACAACAACTATACAGATCAAGAATTGAAGATCAGGTTTTGATCGCGTCTAGCTTGTCGAGAATCACAATAATCTTAGAAACTTGAATTTTTTTTAAAGATCTCTGATTTCATCTACTGCAGATGGGGGTAAATCTTTTGCCTTGGC